TTGGCTGGGGTGCAAAGCATAACGCAATAAGGCAGCACGAACTATTGGATCAACTCCACCACTCACCAGTAAATGCGAAACAAAAGAAATGCTATTAATATGTTTAATATATATATATATGTGAGTGAGAATAAAGTAAATAAAGTATTAGAGTGCGTGAAAAACCAAGATTACGCTTCTGTTAAATGAGAAATCAAGCTCACACTTCTATTAAAGCCCCAACTGGTATTAGTGTAATCTTTCTACCGGTAGCTTCTCGTAACGTGAATGTGAGGAGGAGGAGACGTACTTTATAGCTTTTTTAGAGGATTCATAATGAGGGTGATTTGGATTCTCAGTCCAAGACCTGTTAACGATAATAACGGACAAAATAGTAATGCTCTTTCAAATATGCGTTGCTTTATTTCACTTTCATAAGCATGTCACCAATAGTTTGCGTGCATGACATGTCTAAGGTTTCAACTTGTGCGTTTTTTCTTCTAAGCTGACACGCTACTCTTCATAAAACTGCACGCCTGGGTCTAGGTCCCATGCTACACCGCATAGGGGTGGGAACTTTATATCTTATCTAGCTTGCGTTGAAAGTTATTTACGTGTCAAGTATGCAAAGAATTAAATAAAAAATGGCCGCACGGATTGTTGCATGTTCAACGTTCGATGCAAAACGACCATAGCTTTCTTACTTTTTTTAAATACAATTCTGTTTTTGATTATTTTCAATTTTTTTATTTTTTCTATACTTTATAAGCATCTAATATGGGTTGAACTGTTTTAAAAAAATATTTTCATATATGAAGCAAAAATTAAACTGGAACGCCTTTCAAACTTAACGCATTTAATAGAGATCTGCCGTTAACTTTTACATTTAACAGAAAACTATTCAAAACTATTCAAACTATGAACTACTAATTTCGTGTTCTTTTTGTTCTCTTCATTTAAAGCGTTGCCAGTTATTGAAAGCAACTCTGTTCTCTCACATGCCACTTTTTTTTATAAACCTTGAAAAGGAAACAACCAACTAACGGTTTTTAGCCAAATTTCAAAGTCATTTTACAAGTACACATGGAAGTTAGAAAAAATGGAAAATTTGCTAAATAAAACAAATATTAAAAAGAAAAAATTGAAAAAATAAAAAAATGCAATACCAAATAAAATTTTATAAAATTTATTAAAAATTACTATTGTGTTAAATATATTAAAGAACTATAAAGAAATTGTAAGAAAGTGTATAAAAGACGAAATGAAAGAAATATAAAGGAATTAACAGAAATTATATTTATAAAGCATAAGCTGACAAGTAGACCCAACCGGGATTCATATAGTTTTCCTGGAAATCCCGTTGGTGTCTACTTTTTTGTGCTACGAATAATTATAAAATTAATAAAAGTTCTTTGATAAAAATGGCAGGTATGTGCCGCCCTGTTAATATGAAAATTTCTCATTTCATTTATATGATCTTCGCCATTGCGTCTTTTTTATATATATACATAAAGATACATTTACATATACTGTACTATGTAGGACAGTAAAAGCTCCTTATTCGCGGGGTACACGTTCCATAAAAATGCCGCGAATACAGAAACCGTGAATGGTAATTTATATGGGATTATAGGGGATAAGTTCCTTGGTGACAAAATAAAAAAAATCAATTTAATTGAAGTTTTTGAACATTTTGATCAATTATCTTAACGCAATGGTTTGAAGAATTTTGTAAGTTTCTCTTGCTTGGCAGTTTTTAAAAGCTCCTTCAATTCAGACTGATACGCAGCAGTCGCATTAGCAATTTGCCTCTCAAAAATAAGACTTCGTTCCATAGACGGATCAATGTTCATAAAGAAATCGCCAAGCTCATTTGCCCTTTTGTAAACCTTCACTAAGATTTTTCAAATTAAATGTCACGTTTCCAGTGCTTGTTGAAGCCTCCAAGTCGGTTTCGGTCAAATCTTCATCTTGCGATTCAAGCAATTCCTGAATGTCACTTGATTCTATCTGTTCGAACCCATCCTCGCCCTATTTCATTCGCGATTTCGGCTATGTTTGCAGTCAAAGTTTGAAGTCAGAGTAGGCCAGAGTGTTTTCCAGCATGACTTAAATGTGTATGGCTTCAGTTCTTTCAATGATTCCTTTATATTTACGATGCATTTTGCTACGTTAAATTTCTTCCTGCATTCCATGACATTCATATTAGGATTACATTCCATATTATCCAATATGATTTTGAAGGTTCGTCTTATGTAATAGATCTTAGAGGCCTCGATTATTCCTTGGCCCATAGGTTGAAGCGAAGCCATCGTGTTGGGAGGTAAAAATGTCACTTGGATGTATTCTTGAGCGGAGGACAAAATACATGGATGTAGGTATAGCAACAGTAGCACTACGAAGGCCGAGAAACACCAGAGTGCCGTCATCCTCGGCGTGCAAAGCTTGTCGTCTTTGGTCTTTGGTCCCGACACATAGAAGCCTCATTCGACTACCATTTACTTAGCTCGCTGCAGAGCTGTGAGAGAGGCCTATGAAAATCAGCTGATACAGCTTTTCGTCCAGAAGATCTAGAGTGATGGCATAATATAGATTTCATCTTAAAGGTGGCAAAAGACTACTAATAAAATAGGTACACGTTTGTTTTTAAAAGAATTTTAAATATAAGAACAAGGTCTAACGTTTTACTTGACTCGACATTGTTGCGGAATATCATTTTCATAAAACTTAGTTAAACTGCGAACCACTCAAAATTAGACTGAAATTTATTTATTTCACTTATTAGTCGAAAGAATTCCCGGGATACCCATCTATTGAAAATGATCAAATTATTACAAAAATATAACAACTTTAATGTAAATATAATATAAATTTTCGATTAAAATAGTTTATTGTTATCTAATTAATGATTATTTATGTATATTTTACAAACTTTATTTATTTATTAATTTTTTATATCTATGTATTTTTTAGAACATTGGCATGTGAATTAATTTATGTATTTATATATTTTATATTTATAATTATATTTCTATTTATTTTAATCGCTTATTAATTATAATAATTTACTTTTGACGCTTACACAAAATTCGATTTTTTTGCGTAAGAAAATTGAACAAGAAATGAATGAAAAATTATTTCATTAATAGAGAAATGAAAAATGAAATATGTTATTGTTGTAGTTTTTTAAATTTTTTGGACAAAGGGACGGTAAAAATTACAGGATGAAATATCATATTTTCATATTTTATTATATAAAGTATTTAACTTTTAAATATGTCTGTGTAGTTCAAATATTTTTATTTTTATAAAAAAACATTTTACATATATTTTGCTGTAATAAATCAATTAAATAAACAAATCGAAAAAATTTGCATATTTGTATAAATAAAATATATATGAATAACAAGGAATTTTTTTTTCTTTCGTGTTTCATAAATGGCTCGGTAGTACATAATCATTATTTTATATGAATTGAATTTCATTTTTTTTTTTTAAGTATTCTCTTTCTTTTTTTTAATGTGTGTGTTTAGTTTAGATTTTTATACAGCAGCGAGACAAATCCAAAAAATTCGAAAGAAAGACTTTAATTGAAAAAAAAAGTGGTAAATTCATTTAACTTTACCGACACTACTGATATCTATATAATTAATAATTAATTAAATACTTTTTTGTAAGTTTCCTCTAAGAGTTAACTAATCATTTGTTGTCGATTAATTTTTTTTTTTAATTTTATTTCTGGACATTTGCATGAAATTGAATCTACTTTTCATATTTATTTCTTTATTTAATTATTTATTTATTTCTCATGTATACGTTGCGTTAATTCATAAAACCTACAATTAAAGACAACATTTTAACATGCTAATTCTACCCATTCTAATCGTTTGCAACGACCTTCCTATTCGATATTTTCATTTCGCGGAAACTGACGGCGAAATTCTTCCAAAGAAATTCTTGACAAATTATGTTTGAAGGTAATTTCTTGCCATGAACAAAAGATATTCTGTATTTTATTAGATGTTCAAGAGCATTTTATTAAAAAAGAAAGTCCTTCGAGAGCGCTTCTACTTGGTGCACAAATTTTGCAGAGCCATTTTTATTATAACAGTTCTCGCTACTTCGACAATTACAGACATGATTGCACAAATTTTATCTAAATTTATCTTATGTCATTTAAACATAATTAATTTACATTAATTTATAAATATATATCTACATAAATTGTAGTTATATTATAATTATAGAAACTTAACAACTTAAAAGGCTATGGAATTTTATTATTATTATCTTTAGAAATCCATATATAACAAATTAATTTACTAACATTAATTGTTTTCTATTCGAAAATGCATAAAGAGAAATGAAAGAATTAAAATAAAACAAAAACATGTTTCTTTTTTCTTCTCTTGAGATATTCATAAGGCATATTTATTTAAAATAAATATGAAAAAAAAAAAAAAAATGGGAGAGAAATTTTATTTAACTCGGGTTAGAAGAATCTATGATCTCCACCACTTATAATAATGTATTATAAAGAATTTTTAAATATTACTTCTCTTAGGCGTATGTAAAAATAAATGAAGATATTCTTCAGTTCAGTTTCGTGGAAACTGCTTTTCATTTAAATCGAATGGTTCATCGTCTCTTCTTTTCTGTAAGTCAATGCAACCGCCATTTCATTTCTCTATTTATGTACTTTTTTCCATCTTATAAATGTAGAATACATAAAATCGCCATTTTTCACGAAAAGTCTTATGCATATTTTTAACTTTGGGTTCATGTACAGGCATTCTGTCCTTACTTTCCTTTATATTAAATAACACTAATTTCCAATAAAGTTGACTGTCAATTATAGAAGTCGTTGGCGCCTATTTAGGAAACAATGAAATTAATATGCTTTCAAACTGTAAGAGGATGTAAGAGTAACTTTACAAACGGCCTAACAGTCATTTCTGCAACGTTATTTTTTAATTTTGTGCCCTCGAGAATTTTCGACCACCTGTCAGCTTTATGCTGTCTTTTTTTTTTTTTTTTTTTTGGTTTTCTTTCAAATATTTTATCTGACTAATTAATGTATACTCTAAGTCTGTTTATTAAATTATAAAAAAGTCGGAGTAATTCATATAATTTATTTTCTATGCACACACTTGGTTAGCTACTCTAATGCACATAAAATAGTGATACTGTTACTTGTTTTGACAAAACGGTTTTCTACAACTTTTTGGTTAAATTTGACAATTTTGAAAAAGAAGAAGAAAAGTATATTCAATCTTTCTAATAAATTTAAAAATAACTAGTATAAAAATTTTTTCAAGAGATTTTTGAATTCACACGTTAGTTATTAGCTTTTTCTATTTCTTTTATTTTAAGAAAATTCATTTCACAAACCCATATTTTTTAAACTTATGATTTTAATACATTATTTATTATTTATTCTAATTAAATAAAATAGTGATGACTTTTTAACATACATTCTTGTATTCATTATCCCACCCGTTTCCCTTGCATTTCGATTCGTAACGAATAGACTTAAGCATACGTTTAAGTAACAAACCGTTTTATATTATTTCCATATTTTTACTATTATCATTGTTATTATTATAATGATTTCTTTTTCAATAATAATACGAAGCCAAAAAATACTTTCCTTTCAACTTTAAATTAATTATTCACAAACACAATAATAATTTTTTTTTTTTTTATAATAAATAATTAAATAGAAACAACAGGTTTAGGTAAATTTTTAACACAAAAATAAAAGCCTTTTCATTGCCCATTCATACGCTATGATCCGGTAAACAAAATTTTCATCTAATAGTAAACTATAAACTGTATGTTTTAGCAAATTTTGAATACTTATACTGATACCCAGAAACCAACGTAATACCTCAGATTAAAAAATAAAATAAATATAAATTTCTTTTTTTAGGGTTTTTTTTTATGATTTACAACTTAAGCAATGTATACACTAAAGCTAGAAGCTTACGCTGTACGCTGATTTTATGTTAGAAGGTATTTTGATTGTTACTCGCTGCGTTTCGTGCCGATGGCCTCGATGAGAGTGACGATTTACCGCCGGTGCCTCGTTGCGCTGGCATTGGACGACGCGCATGCCGCATCTCTCTGCAAGGAAGCATAAATTGATCAAACATTAAATGACTGCAAGATATTTTTATTGCCAACCCCGTCAACCATGAGAAACATACCAAAAGAGAAACCTTTGTTTCTGTATAGCTATTATTTAAACAGTTTAGCCGCTTCCTAATTTTAAAGCAATTTGGTACCCACTTCAGTGGCCGTAGCTTTATTTCTTCAGAACTATCCATTAGACATTACATAAAGGACAATACATTCTTGATTGGAATCGTTTGAGCCAAGTCTTCACATCTATTCTGGGATTGTAATAACTTAGAGCCAATAGCATCTATCGATACTATATTTAGGGAAAGACTTGTCGTTGTTACAACTTTTGTGTAAATATCGATTAATAAATGACACGAAAGAGATCATTAGTATTACAGAGGTGGACTAAGACTGTTCATTTTAACTAAAAGTTGAAGATCTTTCTCTGTATTTAAAACTGTTCACTTTGCTATCTTTGAAAACAACTGCGGTGGACGTTAAAATGGATCGACGTACAGACGGACAAACGTTTTAAAAATGTCGATACTTTATGACAGAAATCTAAGAAACTTTATGATTTTTTGTTTAATGAAGAAATGTAAACGAACAGTAGTGTTAAAAGAAAAAGAAGAAGAATACAAATTAACCCACCTATCCATTTCGATTTCTTCCAACTTTTGCGTTAAATTCAGTTTTTGCTGTACGGCCAACCGAAGCAATTGATTCAGAGTCTTTTTCTCTTCTTCAGCCGCCTCTAATTGCCGATTAAGGTCATCCACTTGAGTGACATATTCTTCACAGCGCGCGGCAAACATTGCGCGTAAACCTATAAATAAAAGAATGATAAGTATTCACTTAGAAGGCGTTAGGAAAATTTTTTTATAAATCTCACTTGAAAAGGTTGCAGCGTCTTCTTTAAGTATCTTCAACTCGTTCCTTAATTTAGACATTGTCTCACTGACAACCATTTTCTCGTTTTCGTACTTGGATTTGAGATTTGTGAGAGCCACTTCCGCCGTTTGTTTATTTGACTTCAGAACTGTGCGCAACGTTGCTATTTGTTCACGTTTGGTAGACAAGAGACTCTTCAGTTTAATAATTTGCTCTTGCAATTCTTCAATTTCTTCGCGATTATACTTATCATCTAGGAGAAGGAAATTTAATTTTCATAATTATATGAGATATTTTTTTGCTGGTGCGTATAACTTACCTTCACTAACATTGCCGCGAACTTTGTTCTTATTCAGTTCAATTGTATGCTCTACAGCAGTCTTTAAATATTTAATCTGATCATTGACAGTATCAACATATTTCTTGATTTCTACCGAGTCAGCCAGACCTTGCAGATCCTCAACAATTTGCGGTCGCGCTATGAAAACGTCCGACTTAAACTGTGATTGTATAGCAGTCAGTGAATCATTTTCAAAGCTAAAAATTGTATAAATTTTAATTAAAAAAAGCTTAAAAAGCGTAATCTGCATTTTCAGCGCCTCCCACCCGTAGAGATAAGTTTGCAAAATTCCTACATATTTTTTTTTTTTTTTTTTTTTGATTAGCCAATTAAACCTGCCTTTCAAGGAGATATGATGCAATTTATGCAATAAAATCCTTAACTAATAACGACAACTTTTTGCAGAAATACTTGCAAATTTTTAGAAAAGTTTTGATTGGTTCTAAAGCTGAAAGAACTCATAGGTCGCTTAAAGTGCTAATATTGTAAACGGTACAAAAGTTCCTGTTCATATCTCATATTCGAGGCGGGGATAGTGACAACACAAAATTTATGCAAATATTAAAAATGATGGCAACTGTAGATTAATAAAAATTATACCTCATATCATCGCTTTTATGGTCCAATAGAACTCTGGCGGGCATCTCACCATTAACCGTACACACTAAATGGTATAATTGGGCCAAATCATCGCTCAATGCAACCAACGTCGACCGTGCTGAGCCTAAACTTTGGCCAGCATTACGTGAAATATTTGTCAATGTTTGGACATCGCTCCGTAGATCGAGCGATTTCTGTTCTGTGGATAATAGTTTATTTTTCAAATTTGAGACTTCATTACGCAGCGATGTCATGGCATCTGTGTAATTAAGACCTTTCTGTAATTCAGTCAAATCAGTTTTGAGACCATCAATTTCTTTAGATGCTAAAGTGAACCAATTTATATATTGGCCAAGACAATCGCGCAGCTTTTGTTTAAGATTCTCTTCGTTCTGCTGACGTTTAATTGCTTCCTGAGGATCCTCCCTATTATCGTATTGTTTCTTTAATTGGACCAATGAATCGACATGCGCGGTTAATACAGCTAAACGAGCCATAAAATTTTGCAGTTCATTTTGAGACCGGTCCAAATTAGATTGAGCTTCTCGCAGGTTGGCGGTTAAATTAGTTTTTTCATTTTCCATCGATTCCAATTGCTTTTCTAATTTCTTTAATTCGTTCAAATGGATTTCGGAAAACAAATCGCACTTGGTACCGTCCGGGGACTTTAATTCAGTTGTTAAATCGGCCTCGATACGCTTCAAAGCGAGGTTTTCCTCTTCACCGTCGCTGTTAGCACTAGTGTTGTCATCAATATTATTGCGTATATTGTAAGCTAAGTTGCTAATATGGTACATCGACTCACGATTCAGGTGACTGTCAAATTCTTTTTTAAGAGCATATTTAGCTTCACGTTCACCCTTAACAAAAATTACAGAAAATGTAGGATTATTCATTAAGTGAAGAGAAAAAAGTCAATTACTTGCAAAGCTTCCAAAGCTTCTTCCATTTGTTTTTCGGCAATTTTCCTTAAATTAGCTAATTCATCGACCTGCTGATTTAATAGCTCCAACTCCTCCGTTAAACGCCGTATCTCATGTTTAGCACCTTCAAATTCAACCTGTAATCATTCGTATAAAGCGTTTCAATCTCGGTACAAGTTTCATGCAAAAATGAATTAATGATTTTACCTGGGAACTTCTTAGGCTGGACACTTGCTTTTGCAGTGATATATTCTCTTCTTCTAATTCTGAATATTCGGTTAACATGCGCGTCTCACGAAATTTTAACTCTTTCAACTCGGCCTTAAGTCGTAGTCTTTCAGCTTCATTATCCGATTTGTCCCGGCCAATATCTGAATTCTCTTGCAGCATGCGATCGCGTTCATTGCGTACGCGTTCAAGTTCGTGACGCAGCTGTTTCACTTCGTTTTCTAAATCAAGTATTTGCAGGTTAAGAGACGTTTCACGAGCGGCCGACTCATTCAGCAAAGTCTCTTCTTGTTCAATGCCAGTTTTTGTGGTGACTTTCTGAGATGTTTGATATTTAGTAAGTGCCTGCAATAGAGTGAACAAATAAATTTTAAAAAATTTTAAACTTTTTCCCTTTCCTAAGCTATCTTCCTTCATTTCAAATTAAATAACTTCTATTTCACTCCAGCTAACGAAGCCATTTACTCTGTAAATCCGTATGCACATGTTGTTAGAGAACATACATAGCTTGCGTTTATCGAAAAAAAAGAAAGAAAAATAATTAAAACCAAGAGGAAAGATATTAGATTCGTCTTGGAGCGATATTTTAATATCCGCCATAAGAATGTTCGATTGCAGAATGGATTAAAGAACGATTCCTTCGATAAATATCGTATATTGATCGCTACATATCTTATATATTGTGACAGAAGCTCTTTTATAAACGCCTTCTCTAAAGTAGATGTTCACATAATCCACTGTAACTGTATATGATTTGTTTTAAAAATATAACTATCCCGCATGGGTTATCTAAATGGTTTTTGAAGGTGAGGCAAGCATTTTAAAAAGTAATACTTTAAGCCTTCAAGTTTTAAATGTTGAAAATCTTAAATTGGGGAAAAAACTTAAATCGCTCGATTTTTTAGAAAATCGAAAACGAACTTGAACTGGTGAGAATGATAACAAGAGGTCTGACATCAGTATTATTCTTCCAAGTTTCCCAGATTACAGCAAATAGAAGGACAAAGCTACACTATGCACGTTGATGAAGAACACATGTGAAAACATTTTGAGATATTTGATACCTATATCAATGTGTTATTGCGAACCTAATCTAAACGAAATCCTTCGTCAATGGTTTGCCTATATGAAAATACTTTCACATACATTTCGCTTTACGCTCTCAACTCATTAACGCGGAATTAAAAGCAAAAAAAAAAGTCTTTCGAAATTCATAAATCTGCTTGCGTCCACCAACATACACTTTCGTGGAGATATATCCTGTTACAAACGTTCTACTCTTATATTAACAAACATAAAAAACTTCCGACAAAGTTTTTACAAAATTGCCCGAAAGTTCACCAAATGTTTGTCTGTCTGCCTCTTTGTGCCCTGTGCGCGCTCGCTTGATTGTTTGACTGATTTGATGTGCTAGTGAGCTGTGATGCTATCACTTGACTCGATGGCAGTGTCAACAACGCCTTTAGGTTGGCTTCAACAGTAATAATAACAATCTGTTTTCGTTATTTTTTTCTTCGTTGTTTTTTTTTTCAATTTTTCTTTATTTGTGTTGTTGGATTCCATTGTTGTTGTTTCAGAGATGCTGCTATGTACAAATGTATACTCGTTCAGTCATTTGTTCGTTTATTTAGAGCGCATTCATTGCATACTTACAATAAAAATGCTATACACACCAGTTGTTCGAAGCCCCAACTACTCATACCTCATTCTCATACTACTTCGGATTTCTCAAACAGCACTAGAAGGCTGCTTTCATTTCGTAACGATAGGTACAGTGCCTTTAACGTTACCACTTTGTTCAACATCATCCCTCTTACCTACGGAATTGACTACGAATAATAATGAGTAATCTTGGCCCTTGGAGCTTTGAATTTATATGTAACTCCGTATACATCAATGCTTGCCCCGCAACTTGCTTGCAGCGTAACTCTGCATTCTCTGCAGGGTGTACTTTATCAGCAGGCGAGTTTTTGGGGGTAGATTGACTGACAGCTATTGTTGAATTTTAGTTTCAGTTACTCGTTCCTTTTTTTTTTTGTTGGCTTTTTTATTGCTATTTTTTTGTTGGTTTGCTTGCTTTCGTTTACGCGATAGTACATCAGAATAATGGGCATAATATATTTTAGTTGCAGAATAAAGCAACTTTAAACGCATGTCGACGCCTAATTAAAGGTAATTCAGTATTTATAGACATTTGTTATGAGAATGGAAATTGTCTCCCAACGTACTATTAACCTTAAGCTAGGTCTTATATACAATTTAATTAGATTATCCGATGGTGAGATCTCATTTGAGGGCAGGAAACAGCTATGATTTTAACTTGAGTATCGATTGTTCAGCAGCACCAACACATCAACAAATAGATACTGATGTCAAGTAGAAAAGTCCACTCTATCCGTCTACTCTCGGCAATCAATCAATAAATAAGTATCATGGATTTTTGTAGCGGGCAATCTCGACAATTAATCAAATACTCGCAAAATGCAACTTGAAAAACTGATGCACTTAACAAAGATTTAATCTTTCAACATTGGTTTCGCGTTATTTTAACAAAACTGCGCATATATTTTGTAAATTTCATTAGTGAACAGTAGAGTTGTTAACACTACGTCACTTCACTGCAAATTTTGAAAATTAGAGAATTTTCATGGTTAGCCGAACATTGTACGGGAAGCATGTCTCAAATCAATCTAAACGATTTCTTCCGCGACATCGTAGTAGGAAATCCTTTTCGATCGGTAAATGAGTTAATAGAAGTGGATTAGTTTTTTCAGACATGATTTTTTAGGGGGCATTTACTGCGCTTCGTTCCTCTCTCGCGCTCTTTTCTTTATAATAAGACTATAATTTTACTCCGTCTAAATGTCTGACTGTTTTTTTTCCACTTTGATACGGCTGCTTTAAATGCATCGCTCAAATTAGGTTAAATCCCAAACGCGTTCAATTACAATATTGGACTATGAAGAAATGATGCTTCTTATTTTTAACGTTTCGTGGACGATAAACTATGCTTTGGGGGGGAAACTCTCATCTTCACGAGGTTATCCTTGTTGACTTGTTTAAGGTTTTGCTCATAGTTAGCTTGGCGGTGCATTGGAAGAAGTTTTGTTTTCCTTATAAAAGAGCGCTTCCTCTCTCAATAAACTAATGTTATGGATATTGGATTCTAAAATACGCTCAACTCGTGGTAGTCGAGAGAATGGATCAGGCCCTATCGTTTGTATCCGCCGATGCATGTATACCTTGAGAATGAATAGTCTGAATTTGGTTAACCGGTTTTATATGGTACATTCAAAGGCAAGTGTGACTGCGGTCGCGTGAAGTAATGCTAAAAGCTTTGTAGTCTAAATTTAAGCTCCACAGGGGCCAAGGACCCATTCGCTTAGAGCTGATGATAGGTCTCCAAAATGAGGTTATTGGCCGTACATTTTAAATCATTTTGACATTGCACTTCTAGTGGGGCCTCAAAAGAGGGATTGTCTCATTCTTCGCTCCACTCATAAATAACGCTTATATCAGCGGGTATCGTGAGGTTTTCCTTACAAATGCTCACGTCAAACTACTAGAGATATCTGTAAACATTTCATTAATATGAATACTTGCGTTACTGGCTACCAACAAATGTTTGATTGATTTTTGTGGTAAATGTCGGAAACGAAATGGAAACCAAATTAATGTAAATTCTTGAAGCCACGTGCAATAATTATATGAAATCTTTTTTTATTTCTCCCTATTTTTAAAGGAAACTAATAAATTTCTCACACTTGACAGTTTCCCTGATAAAATTGTGATAAGCATAATTTCCGTCTTCTTTTTTTTGCTTTTTCCGAGTCAAAGCACTTTTCTGCTTTGCTTAGATCCTTTTAAGTTTCGCTCACATCCTTTTAAAACGTTGTACACAGCTTTTCCGCGATACCCAAGTTCTCAGTATTTGCGTTTTGTGTTTTAATCATAATTAACAACGTTCTCGTTACTAATTGTACGCGCTGCGCAGCAAACGCGAGCACGAGGTAATGGAAACGTAAAGAAACAGAGGAGAGAGAAACTTCATTCGATGGTAATGTATACCCCATAATTTTGAAACGGATGTCGTTTCATTTAATTCTAAAGAAACATTGAGAAACAATAGGTAAATGCAACAAAAACAACAACACAAAATGTTTTCCATTTTACTACTAAAGCGGCGATTGCTTGAATAATAAGAACGATTTCTACCTTCGCCAGTCGTGTCTAGTTCGGAGATATGCTAAATTTGTCATTCAATTTGTAATGTCCAGAGGTAAGCACTGAAACCTCCATTATTGACCAGACTAAGCTTACGATTCTACTTAACCTCCGATGGCTGGGCACGAACGATCGAAAGGTTGAAATAATTCAGCCTGAAAAGGTACATGGAATTTTGTCCGATCCAATTAACAATTTGGCGAAAATTTCCTAAAATTCTGATAAAAAAGAAGGGTGAATGATCCGTCAGGTGAAACTATCCCAATATATCGATTAATTGACTCAACATAATTTTCCTTCCTTTCTCTTTATATTTATTTCTGTTGTTATTAAAAAGTGAAAAGAATAGAATGTCGGAACATTACCGGAAAAATTGACTTATTCCCATTTAAAAATAAAAATAATCATTGCTTTGTTGATTGTTTAATTGACTGCAAGAAGAAGCATAATGGTTTCATAACATTTCATTGTGTGGATTGATATACAAACATACGAAAATATTTTGCATGAGTGCACGTCTAAAAGCAAAACGGAAAACATTATTATAAGTAAACATAACATACATTCTATATAACATAGTAAATGTGTACAAACAAACATTAAGCTGAATGATCGACTTTATTTTTACATATTTGTTGATGGGAGACGGGCTTACGGGCTGGTTTGGTTTCTTTTTTTCCCATAAATAATTTTAGTCAGGATTGACCTTATCAAGCCACTTGTATTTGTCTTCCCAAGCATTCCGTGATACATGTACAAATTGCCGACATATCCGCTTGATATATAGAGATAATGCATTTTAAACTCTAGGGCCGCATACGGCAGCTTAGCGTTTCACTTTTAAAAGCCCCAGCCCATAAATAATTAAAAAGAACACTTTATCACGTTTGTTAGCTCAGATAGAAATAATGATGTTTTGAAGACTGCCAAAATTTCAAATTTTGCAAGATAAATTCGAACAAGGTGAAAGTATGGCTGGGAAGAAGAGGCTGAACCTTGCCTCGTTCCGCCAGGAGAACTCTCTTAAAAGAAAAAACTTTGCGCACCTCTCAGCCTGTCGGTCTGTGCGTCATTGTGCCTGTGTGTCCGCTTATCATTTCCTCTTAATGCTTAGCGTCAAA